ATTCAAGGTCAGGCTGGACGGGGCTGTGAGCAACCTGATGTAGTTAAAGCTGTCCCTGCTCACTGCAGGGGGGTTGGGCTAGATGACCTCTAAAGGTCCCTTCCAACCCAAAGCATTCTATGATTTTATATTTCTTATTGTTTGACACTAACATCACACACAGTGCTCATTAGTTCCCGTACTAAGTTCACCAGGAGTCTTCTGTTAAATAGCTGGGATGAGACCATTCCTGCCCAGAAATGCAAACAGCCTAAGTCAAACATAATAAGTGGGAGTAACAAATGACCAGAGGGTACAGAGGCCCTGTCATTAGTGCTCAGAACAGTGATTTGCCTCCTGTACCACTGCATGACAAAGATTGCACAGCAGCAGCAAAAGGAGTGAGCTGACGTTATGCTATATGCATGCTATATTTCTATAATAGCATGAGTTATTTCTCAAAAACTACTCTTAACAGGGTACAGGGTTAATACTTTCAGATCCTCATAGGACAGCATCAAACTGGGATCAAGTTAATATGAGGGAAGTTGCCTATGTCATGCAATTATTTTCACTATATATCAGAGTTCCAGAAAGTATCATGGTCTTAAAACTATGCCTTTGCTCTTTTCTGAATCGCTAAATCGGAGGAGACTTGGGAAACAGCAGCAACATTATTTTTCTGAAAAGCACTCCACTGAAAACAGACCAGATGCAGTCAGAAAGCTCCAAGGATCATGAGGAGTATGTGTGGTGCTTGATGGACTCGCCACCCAAGAATCACGTACAGGAAGATGGCAGGGTTTCAACAGGCACTACCACAGCCCTGAGGCAGTACTAGCAGCCTAGGGCTGCTCCCAACAGATGCAACTTGCCAATTAAAAGCTGTTTTCACCCTTAATCCCCACAGAAGTCTTCTGTGTATTCAAGAAGGGTTCAAGGAGAAAAAAGATCATTTCTAAGTAAGTATGGAAAGACTTGAAATGAATAACATACTAAAATAAAATTACAATTAGAGCATTTAATAGTCACGCTTTCTTTTGTATTGTATGCAAAAATTTCAAGACCCACTTGCACACCAGATATTATTAAAAGACATGACTTAGCCCTGATCTTTTCAAGCAACAAAAGATTTTGTTATGGAAGCAGACTACTTGACACAATGCAATGAAAGCGGTTTAGTTTCTCATAAATGTTCCAACAAGGCAGTAATCCCTGTGAATGAAGTAAAATTTAGGATGTTTTCTGTTGATTTAGAACACATTTTCTTAAGTAAATAGCTGCTTTTCAAACCACTCAAAAAATCTTTACCTTTAAAATTAATACAAGGTGGAGTTTTAATATCTTTCTTTTTTATGCTGTCTATGATTATGTTTGCTTTTCATATTTCAATACAATATTGAAGAAAAAGAAATCAACTTAAAAAGAAAAATCCCTTAAAACAGCCCAAATTGCCAACCAGATAATGTCTGACTAAAAGAAACCTCTAATAGCTACATTTATTATTACCGAGGTTCTTTTGCTGGGGTTGAAAAAGTGAAACACTAGTACAAGCACTGGTACAAAGTCGGTGCACTCTGAAGACTGCTCAGCTCAGGAACAAGCTGAAATCACTGTGGTGAAATAGCAGTGAGGAAATAAGGACAAAAAAAACCTTCAGCTCCCTCTCGACTGATAAGAATAGAGGTTGTTATTTATTTTTGGGTTTAGCTCAAATAACTATTTTTTAAAAAGATTTCCCTTCAGCATTGTTAATTGTTGTAACTACTCATCTAACCATTATTCTGGTTACAAGAATTGTTCCTGCCACCAAAATAAACTGTTACTTAATTGGGCAGTGAACAAATCACAGCACTGTATCTCTTTTAGCAGCTGGACAGGAAAGAAGTGATACGGTTGCAACCGTGTGTGCCTAATGCTTTATCAGTCTCACACACAGCAACAAGTGTCCTCATAAAGTAGAAAGGATGCACAAGTGGATTAGGAGAAACTGTTAAGCAAATCACTGCTCCGTAGCCTGTCCTGTACTTACAGCATTTGGAGATGCATCTGAGCCATTTGGCTGAGGAACTGTTCCTCCATTATTCCACTGCTCCACACAGATCAGTTCTGCAAGTCCTATCTGTAGCTATCTTCCCTGGAGCCTGTGTGATCCGTGCTTTCTAAGAAAATTACACTGAATCTTCCTGGTTTTATTTTTATAATCAATATTTTTATTTTGAATGAACTAGAAATTGTGTGAGAGACGTGATCTCATTACCCTCATTATCCTTCAGACTCATCAGGGTTTCAAATGAACAGTAGAGGCATTTCCTGAGAACCAGCACAGAAGGACATAAGTGCACTGTGTGCACGCTTCTGAGAAGAACAGCCTCCTCCGAGCCGCTCCTTTCCTTGCCGCTGTGAGTGGAGCGTGGGGCAGGACCCTGCCTCTGGTGGAGCAGCAGCTCAGCCCAGCCAGCCTGGCCTGCTTCTCAGGTCGTGCACCACTTCCAACCCGTAGTTTCCCCGAGCCGCAGCAAAATCTTGAAACAACACAAAGCCCTCCTGCACCGTGTCAGTATTTGTGTGCGAAGTGAGGTGAGGGAGGGGGGGTTAAAGTTGCCCGTTCCCAGAGCAGCCTTCCTCCTCCCGCAGGAGGAGGCTCAAGGAGAACCTGAGGGCACACCAAGCCAGCCTGGTGCCTCTTCAGAGCCCTGTGCACCAACGCGTCAGTCCAAGCCTTAGAGGATCAGCGTCTTCATAAAAAGCCTGCACGCTCACAAACAACATTCACTGTCAGTTCAACTGAGATGGATAAAGCCTGGCTAGAGAGTGGACCTGGTCACAATATAATGATACATAAAGGATATCGGAGCTGCTACTGCCCTTGCCTAACCCCTCCAACATGTAACTGAGGGCTGGCTCCTTTCAGAGCTTCACAATGTGGTATGTTTTGCTAGCACTTTATTTTTTTCCCCATTGAAACAGAGAGAGATGGAAGGAACAATGCAAAAATAAAGGTCAGTGGGGGAAAAAATAGGACAGACAAAAGTAAGGACAAATTTTCTCCTCGATTTCATAAATAATATGGATTTTTAATATTTTGTCCTCAATCACTGGTTACAAATTCCTATCTGGAAAAAAAAGGCCAATAGAAAAAGCAAAATATTTGGAAATATTTTTCCTTCTAATCCCTCTATCTCCAAATTATTGCCCATTTCACCCAGAAAGTCTATTTCTGGCCTTCCCAGCCTTTGTACAAACTGCTGCTTTTACCACGGTTGTCTTACCCCTTTCTAGACAAAACTCTTAGGGGCCATAGACAGTTGAATTATGGAGGAACTACTTAAATCTGCACTTGCCCTCCCTCCTTGCAAACTACTATGATGGCTAATCTGTCTGACTGTGTTAACTGTTGTTTCAGAATTATAGTATTAAAGCTACAGGCACTTCGCAGTTTTTTTTAGTGAAATTTTCTTATTTATGTTATGATTTAGATACAAAAACCATAGTGGCAATTTCTCAAAGGCAGTAACTTGCCACTAAGTAATTGTATATATTGATTGCCTGACACTAAACATTTTGAATCTTAGACTATTAGCACAAGAGAACCATAAAAACCTGATGCTTTCATTGTTCTGCAAAAATTGTTTCATCTTACCAAGACTATTACACATACCCAACAGATTTCAGCTCAGTCAGGAGACTAAAAATGCCCAATTAGCTTAAGAAAAACTGTTTTCCAAGTATATACTCATATGATTTCCACAAAGGCTATACCATTATGTCATAAAAAGGAATAGCATCAAATAGGTTTTCACGAAGAATTTTTTTTCTGAAGCATTTTAAATCCACTACCACCTTTGAGACAAACATTCATGTATTGTTTCAAAAATTCTCACACTGCATGTCATTTTAGAAAGTAACTCATCCCACAAATGAAGCCAGTAAAAAACATCATTGGATCCTATTATAGCTGAAAACATGTAACTGAAAACTTTACTCTAAACCAGTAATGAATTCAAACCCCTATTCCAGAGTGTTTAAGGTTAATTTCAAATGCTCTTAAATTTACAAGAAGTCAAATTAACATCCATATGTATATTTTTGGCATCAGTGCTTTTTCAAGCTTGCTGTGGGGCTATTTCCAGCTTGATTCTGTTCCTTAGTTCAGAGCATGACCTATTTCCAAGCCAGTTCTGTCATTATAAGAAGTATTCTGGCCAGAGCAGCAACACAGAAATCTTCCTTTCTTTTTCTTTTTAATGACAACATTTTCTTTAAGAATTAATTTCATTAAAAAGACTATCAAAATCCTTTCTTCCTAGTATATTACATATTAATTTAGTTTTCAAATGATGTATCTGATGCTGCAAATGCTTGCTTCTCAGCACTTCTCTTTGCCCTAGATCTCGCAATTGGAGATGACATGACATGTCCCTAGCAACATCAGTGGGGTGCATTATTACACTCATTCTATTCTTTTAATACCCCACTAAAACTGAAGCATATTACAGAATAATGGTTTCTTCCTTAAACGCAATTTTGCAAAAATTATACTGCATGTCTCTGTGGAAAAACGTACCTAAACAGGTTGCTGTCTTGCACAACTACAATGTGGCAAATGAGCAGGGGGGCAGCACAATACCAGCGTGACAGGGGAAAAACAGCATTATGATCCTGAATGGATTTACAGCTAGTGGCAGGATACAGATTGGCAGCAGGCCAGTGAAGTGCACCCTTTTATATGATGTGGTAAGAATAAGAATACTGGCATTGTTCAGTGGGGCATTTGGAGAGATGCTGTTACAGGAAACAGTGCACGCAGACCTTTGCTCAGACCAACAGCCAGATGGCAATTTTAAGTGCAAACCAACAAAAGGCTGAAGATTATGTTATTAAATCTAATCCATGACTGATCATGACACTGTTTTGACCTATGCTTCCCCTTCTGTATTAAAATAAATGACATAGTTTCATACATCCCAGATCTCATTAACTTGTGGAATTCAATCCCGTATAATTTGGACTTACTATACCTCACTAAACTGTTGGCAGTGTCAGGATCTTGTGCCGTTACTGTGCCAACAGCAGTCCCGATCTTTGCATTTTCATAAACTTCCATGACATAGGAAGGCATAGTGAAGAGCGGAGGTTCATCCACATCGCCAACAATGATCTTCAACATTGTTACATCTTTGAATGGTCCCAAGTGCGAAAAGCGGAAATCAAGGTGAGTATTTGCTCCTTCTATATTAAGTGTATATGATTTCTTTTTTTCATAGTTGAGCGGCTGTTGGCAGAAAAAAAGATTTATCAATGCTGTGCTTCAGTTTAGCCTGACAGCAAGCTAACTATGCCTTTTCCGTTTAACTTAAACCACATTTCTTCATGTTACTGGAAGGGGACAATATTCCGTGATATTGTGGCAGGCCCCGCCCTACCTTGTGGGTAGAAGGATATACATGAAGCAGGATGGATTCAGGTTTTCTCTACAACAGAACTGTGAGCAAGGTACCAGCTTTGGAAGAACTCAGGGTTTAGAATGAGCCTCAGATTCTTCTTCCATGATAAAGTCTCTGGATTTTATCACCTTTTGATTTTTATTGGTCAATGCTAAATACTGAAAAAGGTAGACTGATGTATTCCAAATTAAATTAACTTCATATCTTTAATTAACAAGTTTAATAGACAGTGATAGGGATACTAAAATTCTTTTGGGCATCTCTTCTGTTAAATCATCAACTGAAAAAAAGCAACCCCTTGCAGGAAAACACTCAAGTTATCATAAGAAGCAGGAACTTAAATGTCTAAGAACAGCCTAAACATGTGCTTGCGTGCTTTTTCTAATCAGAAAGGGTGCATCCCTATATTCTAGACCATTTTCTTTTCAATTCTTCACTAGCAACAATGAGAGACAACTCTTCAACCTGTCTCACCCCATACTGCTGTGCTGCACATGAATTATGCCGTCATAAATGGGAAGAAAATCTGCAGCTGGGGATATGCCTTCTACAGGACCTAATGTTCCAGTAAAACCCAATAGAAGGCACATCCTCAGCTGTACCATCCACCAGAAGCGCCACTGCCACTTTAGCATTGTCCTGTTATTTAAATCAGTAGATTCCTACTAGGAATCCTACCTCTCTTCTAGGAAGCAAGAAGCTGGGGGTCTGACATACATCACGCAGCATGGATACTTCCTTTCTTAGGAGTCCCATTCCTAGCTCGCTATTTACACATGTGAAAATTTAATCTCCCTAGTTCATCTGGTTTTCAGAGTATTGTGAACTAATTTTACTGACTCAATATATTTATTTTAACCCTACATTAGCATGCTATTACACTGTCTTATGCAAGATACAGGATAAACATGACACACCCAACTCTCAACTCTTCCAGTGTCAGATAGTTTTGTAGTAGAGGGGACTAAAAGGATATTTAACTTAAAAGTATGCAAGTAATCAAGTTCCATTAGCAGATATAGAATTAAGCCATTTTTTTACTGGAAGCCATGTTTACAGGACCACAACTATTTTGAGTTGGTTTCTTCAGTCTCATGAAAGTAACTTACTACTTTTCACAGACAGCCCATCAAGAATTTCATATGAAAAGTTATTTTTTCTATATATTGTCTTAGTTCTAATTACTGAAAAGGCTTTAAAAAATACCAGTTCAGTTCCAGGCAGTCATAGGACAGATTTCAGGTTTCAGATTGCTGTTTTTTAAATGTGCTCCTATGTTGAGCAAAAGAACTCATTCTTGATAATAGATACCTCAGTCCTTACTGGGTTACAAATTTCTGGCTTCAACCAATTTATAAAGAAGGACAGGTAGGTTAATATTCATTTCATACTGAGCAAAGCAGATAGTTTGTATGTATATATATATATGTGCTACCACTAAGTTTCCAGCAGTCTCAGAACACAGGCATAACACTAAAAGAAGTTGCATACATGTGGAGTATCTTTTTAGATTTGAAATTATCATGATATGATGGCATGGTGGAATTCCACTACAACCAGTATCATTCTGTGTTGACCTGACAGAGTGCCTGAACAGAACTCAGTACAAGTGTTCAGGCCTTCCACCAAGGCTAAACTGGTCTTTCCTATCACCACAAAGAGTGGAAAAGTAGTACTTAAGGGAAGAAATATGAGGAACTCAATGTGTGTTTTGTCAATGTCAGTGTGTATTTTGTAGATAAAATCTACAGTAAATTTGACTGATGATGTATAAGAAAAACAGTTGGTCAGGATTTATATATGCTATATATTTCTTTGATTTCTCCTCTGTGTATTGAAGGACAATTAATTCATTCTCTTAAGCCTAACAGTATAAGACTTTTTTGTATTTTGCTTTCTCTGTCTCCCTTTCCTGAATGTAAAAATAAAAATTTTAAAGGCATGGAAATTTACCATAGCCTGATAAATCTATTACTATAAAAAAAAGAGCTAAGTATACTACTCAATTAAATCAATCCATAAAGAAATATAAGTTTAGTAAATTCTAACTCAGATGCTGTTCAAATTTATGATGTATTTCTGTTATGAGCAGGGAAATATTAAATAGTAATTTGCATTGCTCTGCAGCATATATATTCTAAGATTAAACAAGTTCACAATAGGATTGCAAATTGTAATATGATGCCTTTTTGGAAAATTAACTTAAGTTTATACCAACAATGACTGGATTAGGTTGTACAGGAAGACTAATTGCTCCCAGAAAACACGAGGAATAACACAAAGTCTAAAGTATTGTTTTCTTTCTTTTGTGTAGTTATTCAATCAGACGATACCAACTTTTTTTTTTCCCAGAAATACAAGAATAATCCTTTCAGATGATCAGAAAAAGCTGACATTTCAACCATAGTCAAAGCAGTTTTTTACTTTCATTTTATTTCTTCTTCTTCTGATAATGTCTCCGAATTAGAGAAGCAGATACTGGGGCGTAAGAGAAAAAGAGCTCTGTCCTGCACTGTGATTCACAGAGGTGAAAAAACAACACTATTTTTAACATTGAGCTACTTTAGACAGAACAGACCTACTGTACTAAGGATTATTATTACCAGGGGTTATAATTAGTAACAATATTTTTATTTTCCTTGTACTCTCCTGAGGAGAAGTAAGGAAATTTGCAAGCAAAGCATGTCCTGTGTTATTCCACATCTTTGAACAACTTACAAGTTCAGTTGTTACATCACTTTTCCTATTACTTTTGATAAAATATTAGAAAACTGAAATCTGGTTGCAATTTGAATCTACAGAACTGTATTTTGCTAGGCTTCTGCTTAAACACTGTGTATGTGTTGAAACTGACATTTATCTTACATTTGAAGAACAGATTGGGCCTGTCTAATGCTGTGCTAAGAAGTTTGCTCACAGACTCATCGATTATTTCAGGTAATCTGAGCTGCTTACCAGCAGGAGGTTTGTATTCCCATCTTATTTTTATATAATTTATTAATCATAACATTCAACTTAAAATACCTAAGCTATTTTAATTCAGCAAGTGTTTGGGCATAAACATGATAATGCAAAATAATTTATATTTACAAAGGAAATATTTCAACTATCCCATCAGATTCACAATAGGACTCATTTAACTCCAAATAGCCAAACAGAAAGATGTGGCTCTGTCCTTTCTGACCCCTTGTTCTCTTCAAGACAACCAAATACTCCAATAAATTACTTGTGAAGATGGTCACTTGTAATGTGTAAAACCTAAGTTTTAATTCTCCCTCATTTAACTCACATACAGGCTTTGAATATCAGTTGCTTATCTCAGTCATTAGCTGTAGCTATAAGGTAAGAGAGACAGCACCACCCTGTCTCTCTAGAAATTTAGATGATCATTTCTAGATTTACTTAAAATTGTTCAAACACTGACGATCTTTCCTGGAAAGAAAACAAAACTTTTAAATTTTAGAATGTTTGTTCATGTTTCTTATTTTCCCAAAGCACAATGCCTTTCCATGACCATTAGCCACATATCTTCAGTATGTATTCATCAGTATGACCAGCCTGATTAGCTCAGTTGGTTGGTTGGTTGGTTATTCTGATTTTCATGCAAAACTGAAAATACTAAATGTAGCTCAAGTGACCAGTCACAGGGCTAACTGGAAAATACTGCTGTTCATTACACTGCAGTTTGTGTTTCTAATATCAGGCTCCCAAAAGGAAAAGCAGAATTTTATGAGAAGTAAATGGCTTCTTCCTGAACTTTTCCAGTCTCATTATACAAAATGGAAGAGACATGGGCTGTTCAGACTATTTTTTCTGGGAAGCCTCAACAATACTTGCTGACTTCAGATCAGGAAAGTTCTAGCATACTTCTCTGAAAATCACAACAAGGGGTGAACATGCTGACCAGTCATTCTCTGAAGGATCCAGAGAGTAATGGCTTTCACTGTGCTACTTCGTTTTGGTTTCCTCTAGTCTCCCACTCAAACAAGGAATTGCATGAGGCAAAGGGGAAATCCTTCATGACAGTTTGCAATCAGTCCTTTGTGACAGGATCTTTGAGACTGAAGGGTGGCTGCACAGGGCTTGTCAATAGGGGAGATCATGAAAGTACTGATGGTTTTGGGTCAGCCCAGAATGAGACCAGAAAAGATTCCTTTCAACACTCACAGACTTTGCATGCATGTTGAACAGCCTAGCATGGAGGCGCTGAGAAATTTGATTTTTGCATCAGAATCTCAAATAAGTGAAGTTTCAAAAGATTTGAGGATGACTTCAGATCTTCAGACGATAATATATTTACTTCTGGCTTTTCTGATGTGCCTACTATACATTCTTCCAGAGAAGTATTAGAGGACAAATCATTCTGTTCTCCTGTTATAGGAGATACAGGCATCTGATATACAAAACAAAACTGGTTTTGTTCTTAGTGGAGATTATCTCTTCTGGGTAGGCTATCAAGGTAATTCAGCTTCAAACCCAATCTAAATTAAAAGTAATTACAGCACACAGTAGATAAAATACTTACTAAACTGCATACAAGATCTGACTAAAAGAACAAAAAAATGAGATCAGATTTTTGTACTGTACAAGGGGTTATTATAACTTCTCTGAGGAAAGAATGGAGGTATTCCACACCAGTTTATGTAGCTTTAAGTGCTGAATTTCTGCTAAACTGAAATATAACATTACTTAAGCAAAATGCGCCCCTTCTTGTCTTGATGGGAAAATGACTCAAATCACTGTCATGTGTATCTATAAGAACAGGCAACATATGACTTTGTCATATTCTAAAACATAGTGAAAATTTCTCTGAAGCTATTTTGTCTGCCAAAACCAGTAAGAAATGTGATTTCACACTTTTTGTGTGTGGACTCTTTCATTTTGTTGCAAATTCTTCCCTTCTCCTTCATGTTCTCAATATGCATAAATGTTGTATTTAACGAATAATAGTCATGGTGAACTTTTAAACACAGAATAATGCTCATTTTGAAGAACAAATGACAGATTATGGCATTAGCTCCATCAAGAGCACCAGAAAATAAGTTCAATGTTATAAAAAAGACAGAGTTTACTTTTACGTGACTGAAAGAGGTGGGTATTACACAACCTCTATAAAAAACACTGAATTAAAGCTTTTTAAGATACTGGGAGAGATAGGAACCCTCTTTAAATCATTATGAATCTTAAAAATAACATTTCCTTCAGTTACAAAGTCTTTTTAAGATGTTAAATAAAAATTTACATACATACATACCTATTCAGATGCAAAAAAATAGCATTCTTTATGATATTTTTTTATTTATTCTCTTTTCCCACATTTTCTCTGGTTTTCATTCCTCCTACTGTTAATCAGGCCCAGAATACATATTACCAAATATGAATACAAATTCACTTTTATTTTTTAGGCTCTATGGATACAGTTGATGCCTACAAGACTCAACAACAACAAATCCACATAAGAATTCCTAATTGATGTCTGTTGGTCCAAGTGAAAACTGAAATCAAGAAACTTTCCCTTTGTTGGAAAGGTTTTTTAAAAAATATTACTTAAATATAACAACCCATTTCTCTAGGTTATTATAAAAGTAAATTTAGCCATAGAATATTAGCAGAAGTTGGCAGATACTTCAGGAAATGTTCACTATGAACTCGGTTCAGAGGACTTAATACGGAGGTGAAATTATCTATGGAATTAGATTTGTGCCTGGAATTCAGTTAAGAATGAAATTAAATGGCAAGAACACTTTATAATTAATAGTTTAAATAGACTGGGATAAATATAGGAAATTCATATAAATGATAACTGTGTGATGGCTTGACCAGTTACATTTTGAGTCTTTATAAGCAAGTCAGTATTTACATTACACAGTGCACAATACTTGACCCTTTAGACACCAGCTGACAAGTCAAAGAATAACACTCTATGAAAACTGAATTGTACATTCATTGCCACAGAAAAACTTTCTACGTCAAGATTCATGCAGTTTGGGGACAACACCATAACCTTCAGCCAAATTTTACTTCTTTCAAATAAATGTAATGTGCAAAACCATCATTCAGAAAAATTAAACTATCTTAATCAAAAATTCAGCAAGATTTAGTTTATTATAAATATTAGGTACGACCATTCAAAAAGCACAGAAGATTTAATTAACTGTTTCTTTCCTTGAATTGCTTTTCTCCCTGCATTTTCTGCAAAGATTTAAAGTGGCTCAGGAAGCAATGTGGAGAAGCTTACACTGCTGAAGTTCATGGTTCAATGGGTTTACACAGTAAAATATTTTCATCATGGTGTCTGCTTATTCAGCACTCATCATTATATTTTAATTACATACACAGGGAACTTTAAAAGTTTATTGCTTACCTTCTTCAGGGAAAGAATTCCTTCCCTTGTTTCTTTGTCAGTAGATATGGAGAACACCCCAGAGCCATCACCATTTATAATTGTGTACTTCATGTCTGCATTTGAACCAGTGTCTGCATCATTTGCTTTGATTTTGCCAACTGCTGATCCAACTTGAGCTGATTCAGGAACATACAGTTGATAATGTTCTGAGGGGGAAAAAAAACCCAAACCAATAGCTTGGACGCTTTCTAACCAAACTAAATTTGAGCACTGTTATGTGCTTGATACACTTCTGCGTAAATGGAAGAATCTTTAATAAACAAGACTGACAAATAAATTTATGAACTTATTTAGATTCCTGAAAGAATTCAAAAGAGAATTGTATTTTACTCTGGATATCTTTATTCCCTATTCAAAATCCCAATTACCTAATGCAGGATTTTGGTTTTCAGTTATTTTTGCTGTTCATCACATAACACAGGAATTAACTCTGAAGTTACTTCACACCAGTATTTTTAAAAGTTTATCTTTTCCATAACCAAAATATATTTATCTTCATGGACTTACCATCAAATGAGTAGTCAAATGAGTACTTTTGAACTGGAAAACCTTTGTATGTTATATTTATAGTTTGTTTTTCTGAAATCTGATCAGTTTTGCAACGCTGCATCAACATTTTGCAACATTGAATCAACACATATTTTTTCCTGCAGAAAAATGTAATGAATCTTAATATTTTAACATTACCACTTTGCAGTGTTTTTGTTGCAGCACAAAACCCTTTGCACACAAATTTTAATTGGTATCCATGGTAAAGGAAAATTAACATAATGGGTATGTAAAAGTATTACACAATTGTGCCCATAAAAAGCATCTATAACAGCTATGACCTCCTTTCAGTGTTTTTATAACCTGTTTGGTTAATCATTAGAAAATGAGATTTTTTTTTTTGAAAAATAATTTTCTTAACCGTCTCTATCCTTTTGGATTAAATCTCCTAACAGGTACAAAGTTGCCTGGGGGATAGGAAGGTGCCACAAGGAGAAAAAAAAATGGTAAACAGACACAAAGTGATTACATAAACCTCCATTTCCCTCTGAAACTAGGCCAGAAAGACAGGTCAAAGAAATTTTCTCCAATGATGCTAGTGTTGTAACACAGTAGGGATGCTGAAATCTACCAGCACTGAAAAGGAGAACACACATTCAGTAGAAGGTGTGCACAAACCAAAGCCCACCCCAAACAACACCCCATCCAAATCCCTCCCCAACAGTCTGCACAGTTTACATCACAGGCCAACCACCAACAAAGAAAAGAGAGCAAAATAACAACTTCCATTATTACACATCTTCTGAAACTCTACAGTTTCTTCTGTATTCCTCTTAGGCATTCTCCAATAGTGAATGCAACAGTGCAACACTGAGGTGCAGGACAGTGGATCAGAAGATGCTACGTATCAAAGCTAACATGTTACAGTTTCCTGAGTTTGAACCAGCTAGCATGACTGCAGAGGTGCCCTCGGTAAGCATGTAGAAAGAGAAAGGTAAAATTTAAATTTAATTCAGAGATTGAACCTGCATTATGGCAGAAAAACACTATTTGTTGGATGGATTGAAGAAATTACGAATCTACAGAAGTTGCAATTGCAGAGGGAATGGATGTTACGACTAAAATACAACTAACTAACTTTAGACACCTGTTAGAAAATAGAAGATTTTATTATAAATTTGTCTAATTCCTTGCACAATGGTACCCAAACCTATTTATAGTCTTGAATTGGTTTTGTAATACTAGCCCATAATACTAATAAACAAACAGTAGTGTGAGGACGATGGACGAGTGCACTAAACTTTGTTAGTACAAAAGGAAAGACAGCTTTCCTAGGAAAGCAAAAAATAAGTTACCATGCATTAATGAAATCTCAAGGGAAACAAGGAATGTCCAGCAGAACAAGAGAAAAAGTATAATTTACCATGTAAAAAAGAAAATACCAACACTGATGGAACAGGAAAATTGCTTAGTAGTTGATTCAATTACAACACATAGTTAATTCTTTGATATGCATATAAAAGCCATCTTCACAAATTTCCAAATAAATGCTCTGCCATGCATTCTATTGCAATGCTTCGTGCTTACAGATGATGTAAACTGACACTTTCATATTGCTGGTTGCTTTATTTCATACATAAAATTATGGTGATGGGATAAGATTCTTTTTGGAATTTACTTATTATTAAAATAAATGTGAATTGCGGTCTTGTGACACTTTTTGCGCTGACTAATGCATTCCAAAAAGGAAAAGGTTGAGGCCGTAAAGAATATGTTACATAGAGGCCATAAAGTATATGTTATATAACCAAGCCACTTCAGGAACTGGAAGTGTTACAACCCATATGATAGGGTGAGCTAATTAGAGACTTCCAAACAGTCAAGCTAGTTCAAATATATCCACATGACACTACACTCCGCTTTATAATCACACCCCAAGTGTTAGCCATCTGTTTCAGAAAATCATTTTACTGATACCAGCTTCAAACATTCTGAAATACTAAAACTTCAAGCAAAACAAATAGTTGAAATCACTCATTAATTATCTGTCAGTATTTGTAAAACTGAAATGTTTCCAAAAAATGGATGGAATGAAAAGAAAACTGTTAAAAATTAAACACTCTTAAATCGTAAGGTCAGAAATGTTTCCCAACGAGTATTTAACCACTGCTTCATAAAGAGAGCCTGAAGATGTCTCATACGGACGTGAGCCAAATAGATAATTACAAACAATACTGTCTAAAAACAACAAACACATAAGAGAATAAAATGCAGCAACATGAAGGTTAGATAAAATATATTATAAACACTTATTTAGACTAGCGGTGGAAACTGGAAAAGTTCTTACTAAACACTAAATTGTTGTAAACTTTATTACTGGAAAGTAAAGGAACTGACTAAAGGCTCAACTGAACATTTCCTTGGGCACTGAATAAATTTGGATAGGACATTGAAAATAATGTGTGATGTGTATACTGTGAATTTATGATTCTTTATTGTAAGCTATGAATCTGTCTCCACCCTTTAAAAATTGGTTGGGAAATTAGGAGGATTACCTAAGGATCAGGTACCAGTCTGTATCAAAACTGTTTCACCAAATCTGCCCGAGTTGAACAGATTGTTCCTATGGTCCCAGCATCACAGCCTTCCAGGAGCTGTTGTAAAGCAGAAATTTCAAACAGTCTTGGGGATGCTCTAAATTGTTCTAGAGGAGCAGCCTGGTGGCTTACAGACCAAGATTCTGTAGAGGTTGATTTGGTTCTCAATTTTTATGTTAACATTCACTCAGATGCATTCACTTAACTCATGAAATGAGTAAATTACTACTCTTTTCCAGCTAATGTACTGTATAGGATAGTCATACCACTTTGCTTTGACTTTAATCTATGCTAATTGAAACATTGTTCAAATAGGCGATCTTCATCTTCCTTTCAATAAACTATGTGGTTTATCTGTCATTATAGTACAGAAACAATTTATTGATCTGTAGAACAATTTACTTCTCATTTCAATTAGCCTCCAGGCAACCTATAATGCTGTGTTTCACTCTCTGAAATGCAATTTCCCTGTCTGAATCTCTCAGAAAAAGAAGTATGACAGTATTTAATGCAACTCAACAAGCATGTTATTCACTTTATTTTATTCATTCATCTATTTTGTTGATAATTTTGACTTACTTTTCTAGGTTATAATGTTCTCTTGAACAGTAGGAATTACCTTACTTAACAACAGAAGGGAGGAGAAGCGTAATACTGAACTAATAGAGAAATAAGTAAATATTTGGCCTGCTTGTTATTTGTTTATCCAAGGTATAGTTTTAGTAACATGAGGATAAACACTGCTTGGTAATGAACCAACAGATGCATTCATTCATACAGTACAGCTTGTACACTGATGCCTTTGTCTATCTACTAGCAAACTGATAAACACAGCAACTGATTGCCTTAACATAAAGTATCACCATATCCTAAATGTATATCAAAGTGCTATGTGAAGAAAGTCTGCTTGAACCTACAACTAGCTAAATATTTGGTCATGCGCCAAATTGACAAGACATGGAGAACAAATGGACAGCAAGCCAGGCTCAAAGCCTGATGTATGAGTACAAAATTCAACGGGCAGCCAATTAACAGTAGTTGTTCAGGAATCAAACTGTGGCCAAAACTATTTAATGTCTTAATGAATGACCTGAATGATGGGTTGCGTGTACTCACAGCAAGCAAGTGGACAATACCAACTTGGCAAAAAGTGGTCAGTATGCTGGAGGGCAGGGCTGCTGTTCAAAGGGACCTGGACAGGCTGAAGAAATAGGCTGACAGGAACCTCACGGCATTCAATGACGGAACTGGGGGAGGAATAATGCCATTCACCAGTACACGCTCAGGGCCAACCACCTGTAAAGCAGCTTTGCAGAAAAGGACCTGTCAAAACTTGAGCAGACAAGGCCCTTAGCAGTTTGATCTAACTCAATCTGCTTTAAACAGGGGTTTGGGTCAGATGACCTTTTGGAGGTCCCACATTAATCTACGTTCCCGGCATTCATGAAGTTATGTCTCACATTTTACTGCCAGCCATCTTTGATAAAACTAAAGTGCAGCTCCAACTGTGGACTGTGCTCAATCTTGCTTAGTGGCTTTCTACTACAAAGTTATTCTTCATTCACAGAGCTGCTTGTTTTCATTACATGTAATAGATTATTCTGGATTTCTGGTTTGAGACTGCAGTTTTTTAGAAGTCCATTCCTCACAGTAAGTCTTGGACATTTGTTACATCTTTCTTTACTATGCTTATTTTTAATATAATAAACCCAGTTTTAATCCATCATCATTATGAATACAGCAACTTTTATGATTCCGGAAGCTCAGTTAATTTTACATCTACTGTCTTTGTTCTGAATATTCTTTTTGATGACAACATCCCTTTCATACAGCTAAACTAAGGAAGAAATTTTTAAGATGTGTGTTTGGCTTACTCCTTTTCCCTGCCAAAAAACCAACACTTTTGCACTTTCTGAAAATATCTCAAGTGTAAGTGAAGTTATTTCTTATTTGCAGATATGACACTAGAACAATCTTCAAAACTCAAGACATTTTGCTTGCCTTGAAACTCTGGAGAACATAACATTCTTGGGTCAGTTTGGAAAAATCCATTCTTCTTA